GGGCGCAACACTGAGGGTTGCGGTCCGTTGCCGGACACGAAAAAAGACAAAAAAAAAAAAATTTCACCTTATCCCCTCTATAAAGGAGTTAGCAGTTCATTAATCTACTGAAAAATATTTCACTAGAATAGGTCCTGGGAATAATTCCCAGTTGGCTGCTCCAGATTCTCTCTTTACCCTTCTCCATGCTGCCCTCTGCCCCAGAAGCTGCACTGTATCGGCAACCTGATGGACACTCTTTCCTTAACCAAACTTTAGTCAGACATCTCTGAGCACTCTTCTCCATGCTGACTCCTGTCCTTGCCGGGCCTGCATAGCTGAGTTTTTAGCAAGAATCATGCTAAGTCAGTTTAGAATCTCTTCCCTTGATATCTGCTCACCCTAGCCTGCTTTCAGCAAGAATCCTGTTAAGTCTGTTCAGCAAGAATCCCGTTAAGTCTGTTCAGCAAGAATCCCTCTACCCTTATGACTCCTCTTAGTAATTTTCCTCCACTGACAGCACCCACCCCCACAATTCTGCTATAAATCCCCAGCTGTGTTTGCTGTATTTGTATTTGAGCCCTCTTTCTTCCCTAGAGACAGTACTGACACCTATTACAATAGTTTTAGTCTTCCTTACTGTTTTAACAAGTGTGGGAACAATTTTTTCTTTCACAAACCTCAGTAAGCAGTGAGTGCTCTGACAAAAGACTGGAGGAAGGGAAGAAATCTGGATATTTATTCCCTTGGCTTCCCCCTGGGGCGGTCCGTCGCTCAACTGAAGGTCTCAGTGCCTCTCAGGTGGCCCATTCCACAAAACCCTCTCTGTCTTCCAGTGCCATCAGCTTCCCCCCTCCAGGCCCTCCACGCCAAGGGGTGATAATGGTGTCTCATTATTACTAGCCCCAGGGACACCTTGCTATTCCTATCCCTGTGGTTTTCTATCACTTTGTGAGTTATTAAACTCTCCTCAAAGTATCCTAATTTGAGGAAGCCATCTGTTTCCTGCTGGGTCTCCTGAATACAGATAAGGCATTAGCTCTTTCTAAGAAAGGCAGGCATGGATATAGAAAGCAGTGAGATTCCCACACAACTGACTTAGTGACTTAAACAAGCTGACTTTGTTAAGCTGCCACCTCTCCCTCCTCTAGTTATTTCATAATTATAGTAACAGAAAGTATTTTCTAAAAACATACAGTTTCCAACAGAGTCTCTAACCATCAATGGGGATTATTTTAAGAAGAAATATCCAAGGCAGCTAAAAGTAAAAACTATGCTAGTTTAAACTAACTATGCTAGAAACCTGAGATAGAAGAACTTCTTTGTCCTTATTTCTATCTGGTACTTAATATCCAGAGGTAAATTCCAAAGTAAAGATTTGAACAAACCCAAGAAACACTTTAA